ATTCAAACAATTATTATTTGTAAACAAGAGATGAGTGTACCTCTAACACAGAAAGACGTCATTGTGGAAAAGAAAATACTTGTTTTTTAAATAGTTGGTTTTGTTTTTGCATTCAACGTGGTCTCTGAAAACCAGTCCCTGAATATTAATTTAGCAGATCTTATGCAAAACCCTACTTTTAATACATTTTAAGATGCAGGCTTTTAATTTCAGGGCATATACTGTACAAGAAACACTTCGCCGTAATAAAACAACATAGTGAGATATTGTTGTGGTTCTGCTGACCTTTATGCATTTTCGATAGTTTCTACATAGTAAAACAAAACTGAATTATAAACTAATTTCCAACAGATTTTCAACTGTATTTTCAAGTATTTCTGTTTCTATAAACACTCTAAGTAAAATAATCAATGCACAGAGAAATAATTTAAAAAACATACTATATGCAATCCTCTGTTCTAAACATTATTTTTTCCATCTCTCCATGCTCATCCTTTAATCCTACAGACCAGTTTACACATCTACATACTGTATACTGTATATATTCTTAATTATGGTTTATCATATTATGCAATTTTCTTATTTAATCTCATTGATATTTTTTATAATGAATATTTGTAAATTGCAACAGGAAGACAGGGAGCAAAATGCTCAAGAAAATAGTATTACAAAGAAATCAGCTACCTTCAAGATCATCCACATCTCCCAAGCCAAGTTCTTTCATTAAATCTGTAAAACAGGTAAATCAAATCATGACACTTACATCTGGGAAAATACTTTAAGCCTGTTATCTTAAACTCTTGTTATTGTCATGGATACTGTCACCTTAGTAACACCCTGATCTCAAACAGATTCCCAAAATTCTCTTACCCCAACATTCTATGTCTTTAAGTGAGTTAAAAAACTGAACTGTCTGCTCTGAGCGATAATTATGACTCCTTATGACTCTCGTAAAATCAGAAATGACCCTTCAGTATGGGGCTGTGTTGGCTGAGATGTTACAAATAACAAGTGACTTGAAAGTGGACAGGTTGGAGGGCACTCTCTACACTTGTTCATTCTACCAGGTGTGGTACTGGGGTTCACAGTTCCAAGAAAGACATGAAAAACTCAAGCATTCAAAAAATTTTGATACATTCAAGCGCATGTATCAAAAATTGGCCATTCTGATTTAAAACAGGATCCAGAGCATTAGCTTCAGGGCGGCAGAGCACCAAAGACAACACAAGCCTTAAAAGGTGGACTCAAATACTTAAATCAGACAGTAATGTCTGGATTATGTAGAGATTATAGGAATATAGGAATATATTTAAATATTTTCTAGTATGTATAGGTTACTGTATTGCATTACCATGGTTTAGATTCCTTTAAAAAAATGCCACGGGATACTTCAAACTTTGTCACTCAGAAGTGTAACTACCTATACCCTCAAGTTTTTAATATTGTAAATGATCAAAATAAAAAGAGTCACCAAGCACATACAGTACAATAAAACCTAACTTTTCTGTGGCACTGACTGTGAAAACAGAAAATAAACAGACATTTGTAAACACGTTTATATCTTGGTACTTAATGATACTCATTTTACTTCTTATTTTTACTGTTTTACTGTTTTATACTTCTAGTTTTTATATTCATATATACAGATTCATATATACTGTATATCCGATATGCAGTATATACAATATATATATATATGATTAAATCAACCTATTCTTTATTAGATGCAGGGGTTAAAGCCCAGTTGTAACAAAAAAGTGCACATATGTCTTGGTGTTGCACTAGGTGCACATTTTAAATCTGAAGTATTTTTGTTTTTACGGCACATATATCTTTAAATCTGGTGCATCCGTCTTGCCCAGGTAAATAGCCAGTAGCAAAATAAATTTTATTTGAAATGTCATCACCTGCTTATTGTTCACCATGAAAATGATATAATACCTAGCAAAAGTAACAAACTGCACAGAAAAAAATCCTAAAAAGAGAAACTTATTCATTTTCTAATGTCCTCTGAAGTATTCTTTAAGAATGCATTTTCGTCTTCAGAGTTTGTGGAAGAATACTACATTTCCTTTTTTACTGAGTAAATAGGGCTTCTGGATGGCTCAAGTGGTGAAGGCTTTCGCCCAAGAGCAGATGGGGCTTTATGATCCATGCATCATATCATATCATTAATCAACTGCTATCAACATGCTCCAGATATTTGTTAAAATCTGTTTAGCACAACTGCTGGAAGAGCTGGGATTAGTCAGCCAGGTTAGGTGACAAGTAGTGCCCTCCACAGTTCATTCATATTCATACTATCAGTGACAGATGTGCCTCTCCTTCAATCTGTTCTGCACTTCCTGTGACATGTGAAAAGATGACTGACTTGGAGGTGGGAGGGGCAGAAAAATCTGTCTACATTTCCTCATTCTCCCACATGTATGGTTGCTCAGATTGTAGCTAAGACTTGAAAATGCTTTTGGTGTTTCTAAATCGGGTGGGTATATAAAAAGTACTATTTGGAATAGAAAATGTCAACAAAAAGAGTAAAAAAAATACAATACCTGTTTTCTCTACATGCATTGCTGGGCTAGATGATGCAGATAGTGGCAGAGTTTTCAATGCCTAAGGAAAAATCAAAACAACATTTTTACACCTATCAGGCTTGGAAAGGTTTAAAATGTTGAAAAGACAATTGAAATTACCTTCTTTTCCAAATTGATTTCTTCTGCACCTGAAATACACAAGAAAATATCATACATTTAATGCAGTTACTGCAGAGGATCCCTGTACATTTACCAAAATCACATGCCAGCTCTTTCTCAAGAAGGCCTTACACCTCATGCAGAGTAACGTTGGTTAATGGGTTATGAATGACACATAAAGCAAAACCATTCAACCCAAATGACATCACTAGTTAACACACTAGACTATATTAGTAATGAAGGTGAGTATGCAATGAGCTTCTGTATGCCCTTCACTCCCGTATATGATGGACTATGGCCAGTCTTCTTGAATGACAGTCATGCCATTTTCAAGTGCTGAAGTGCAGAGTTAATGGCTAAAACATCCATACCCAGTCCCCTTGGGCCACCAGGCCTGCCTATACTCCTTGAATCCTCTAGTTTAGCCATCCTATAGTTTCTTGATCCTCTTAAGAAAGAAGGAATGTAAAACAGTTCTATGGAAGGAATTTAATATAAATTCAGTTTAAAAATGTAATTTACCTTAAAAACATTGCTGTTTTTTTCATTAGACAAACAAAATTAACTCATCGTAAATGAACAATGTTCCCTTTTTCCATTTAGTTTTAAATGTTGAGGTATTTAAACCAAAAATAATTGATCATTCTGCATAATTTAACTTATAATCTTGTAATAACTTATTGGTTAAAATAATATATCATTGTTAAAGAATTTAGTAGTGAAGTAAATGCTATTGAGTATTTATTGAGTAATGTGAAAAATACAAATACTTACCATGGCCATATACCTATTTCATAAAGCATGAAATGGAATAACAGGTGATTTAAAGCATAAAACAAGAGCAATATTAAAACACTGTATAATCTATATTCTATATAATCTATATAATTCACATGGCATTTCAGATTTTTTTTTAATTACCTTCATTGGTTTCCTCTGAAATACTGTGCATTACTGTTTGTGCCTTAACAGCAGAATTTGTGGATCCATTCTGAAACTTTCTTGGACTCTCAGAAGCAGACTATTTGAAGAAAAAAATGTTATATGTTAAAAAATGTTATAATATAAACCTAGATTACACTTCATGCTTCATAACAACTGAGACTACCTACTTACCTCAGAGTCCCAGGGAGAGTCCTCTTCCTCAGCTGGCTCCAGACCCAACTCAGACAATAAATCTGGTATAAAATGAGTTATATTTAAATTTTTAGCAAGATACTGAAATAAACAAGGTAGATTAATTTATTTTATCTCCTTACAAGTTCAGTTATACAACATGCTTTTAGATGTTTTACACCAGGGATCTCCTATTCTGATCCTGGATAGCCTCAATTCATATGGCTTTTTAGGTCACCAATAAATCACAAATTTCACAAGTTTTGATCACAGGTTTCATTATGATTAATGCTTAAACACCCTTTGGACCCCTATCTTATATTCTAATGATGGGAATAATTGTTGTATTTTTTCCCCCAAAACAGTGAATTAATAATTCAAAGAGGACAGGAAATGTAGGACAGGAATGCCATCTCTTTGAATGTAATAGTAATATGAATGTAATAGAACATATATATTTTGTTGATTTTATCAGTCATATTTATGTACTGTATCAATTAGGTTTTTGTTTACCTCTTTTTACATATTTTGAAGTGGCTTTGCTTTCCGGCAGCATCATATCACCTACACTGCCAGATCCTTTCTTTAAACTAGGCAGGTTTTCTAGAACCTCAGCATCAGCTTCCTCTTCACCCTCTTCTCCGTCCTCATCCTCATCCGTTGAATAGTCTTCCTATTTCAACCAAAATATAGTTAAATGGGGTTTCCATTCTCAAGATGATCATAGAGATTTAACTAAGGAACATATTCTAACTTTAGATTTGCACAATAAAAAGCATTTCATTATACAAAGTGTGCGTTCTGAATGTATGGAACAAACCACCTAGATACCTGTAGATACTGAATCAGTGGGAATTTCGAATGAGATCATTCAATAATCCAAAACAGGTCTTCTGATGCAATAGCCAGGTCTAAGGTTAATAATGATTTCTTGCATTTGTGTAGTGCTTTTCGTATTAGTCTCAATTCACTCACCACTGATGCACCACACTCAGGTAGTTCGTTAGGTATCAGCAGACCCTCTTGCATAGCACATCAGGTGGATAAATGGTAAATAACTTCAGCAATCAAATTAAGGGTGGAATTTAGGAAGGCCAAACTCTGTGCAATCCCAAAGTGGATTTAGTATCTGGGTTTAGATTCCTATCTGAAGGATGACACACACAATATTAAAGTGTCTCCGATCAACATACAGGGGTAGTGGGTTAGAAATTCTGGTCCAGAGAAAAGAGTACCACCAGCACTTCTTATAGAAACAATATGGATTTTCTTTGGTGTCCTTTCAATTGTATCACTGTACCAATCAGGCCCAAACTTTTCTATTTATTAAGGAGATAATGAGACCAGGCTACATAGGCTCAAATCTTCTACATGTATTAATACCCCAGGTTTGACCTCTGTTAAAACGTATATATAGATGTATTATTCTGACCTTCATATCTTCCTCCAACATCTGCTTTGGTTCTTTTTCAAGATAAGTTACCATGAGACAAGCTGATCCAGCATCCTGGTGGTGACTTGAGTGTTCTTCAACACAATCAACACTGCATTCAGACTGCCTATCCATATCTAGATCAGCAGAGTGGACCAAATTGGTGCCCCCTGCTTTACAGCCCTGTTCTGAGTCACTATCATTCACATTTTTGACTCTTTGAAAAGCTGTGTCTTTTACACCTTTAAGATGTTCTACATCATCCCAGGCTATTGGTTCTGAATCCAGGTCTTCATCAGAATGCTTTCCTATGTGCTTGTCCATTTTCTGCCCACTTTCATCTCTGCTACTATGTGATACAGTGCTCTTGTTATTATTGCCCTTCTGCTGGGCTTGATCAGAGTCCCAAGAATCTTCTTCATTTTCAGATAAATTTTTATTTTCAAGAATTACACTCTTGTTCATGTTAACTCCTGTCTTTTGATGATCATCAGATTCAGCAGACCCTGAATTCGGAACTTCGCTTTTAGATCTTTGATTTTTGTCAAAATTTACTTCAGCTTTATTAACCTTAACAGGTATATTGAGAATTCTATGATTTACATTCTGGATTTCACCCTCTTCTTCCTCTTTGATATTCTTTTCATCATCAATGCATTCCAAATGGTCCTGTATTGTACTGTCTCTGTCTTTTAACTTATCATCATAATCATTTGTGACATCAAATGCAGTCTCATAGTGACCGACTATTAATGATACAGGAACATCATTTGGATGTTTTATTGCATTCAATTTATCTTTAGGCAGTACTTGCTCGTCCATTGAAGCTCCTTCCTCAGAGTCCCAGGAATCATCTAAAGACTTGCCATTTTCTTTGCTTGGTTGAAAAGGTTTCCTTGATTTACTTACTGCTGAAGAATCACTTTCTGCAATACCTCTATGAACAGAAAGCTTTTCAGAATCAAGGTTTTCTTCTTCTGAGCCATCTCTTGACAGAATGACTGAAACAGTCTTTGCTGCCTCAATGTCTATATGTGCTGAAACCATTCTTTCCTCTATGGTTTCACAGTTATCCAAAATTGCATCTTTGTCTTCATTTTCTGCAGGATTATTACTTTTTTCCTCATCTGGTATATTGTTTTGACAAGTCACAACCTGTCCAACAATTTCTTCTGTTCTCTCTTTAAGAAACTCTTTGACTTCAACAGATGAATGTATTCTGTTAGCATCATTACCAACATCAGCTTCGGCACTTTTAACATAATCTCCTCTACTATTACACTGTTTATGCATTTCTTCATCTCCTGCTATGGCTGTGATGCACACACTTGCTACAGCATCTTCCAGATGCTCTTCCTCCCCTTCTTCATCCTCTTCCTTATCCTCTTCTTCTTCCTCCTCCTCCTCCTCCTCTTCTTCCTCCTCCTCCTCCTCCTCCTCCTCCTCCTCTTCTTCTTCTTCTTCTTCTTCTGCCTCCTCCTCCTCCTCTTCTTCTTCTTCTTCTTCCTCCTCCTCCCCATCGTCATCGTCTTCCCCTTCAACTTCCTCAGAAATGTCTTGATCTGAGTTCTCACTGACATTATCTTCTTGGTGGTGACTGCTTTTCTGGCTCGTTGTCACATATCCTACACTTTCTTCAAGAAGAGCCTCATTATGGTTCTCTTTAAAGCCCAAGAAGATGGTTTGTTGGTGGAAATAAATGAAAAAAGAGAAAAGGATGTTAGAAAAGCCACAAAGATGTAAAAGTTAGCAACAAAAACTTTACCTTACTGGAGCCTTGGAGAGGGGTAGAGGTCATCTGAGGAGGTTTGGAAAAGGACTGAGGTGAAGGGTTTGCTAGGTGAAGGGTACTGGAAGTCAGGGGTAAAGTCGAGGGGGGGCAAGAATTTCTCTCAGTTCCATCCTTGTTCTCGTTCTCTGACTCTCCTTCACTCCTCCAATCAGGGGAATCTGTTTTTACTACAGGGTAGGATCTCATGTTACTAATAAAGTACTACACCAAAACATCAAAACTGAGCAGCAAACAGTTCCTAGCCAACAAAATGCCTACCATGGTGACCAATATACAAATGTTTTAGTCAATAAGGGTGACAAAAATAAAAAAGTCAAATGTTCAAATGTATCCCAGAAAACACTCAGGTTTTCATGCGCTGAAATAACTATTAAATGAACAAGAAATATAGAAACTTACCATTCTTCCTGCCCTTCTGGGAAGCATTTAGAAGTTTCTTCAGGTTTGGCTTTTGTTGTTTCTATAAGTCAATTATACATGAACATTTTAATAAAAACTGATAGCTCAGTGTGCAGTTACTTATTTTATTAAAATTTCAAAAGCATAACCATACTATACATATACTCAGTACATATACTGTGTTATACTGGTATTTCATATGGGAAAAAATCAATTTAGAGTCACAAAATAGGAATTATATAAGAAAATATCCCATATTTACATGCTTAATGTTTCCTTACAAGCTTTCAAGGATCCACATTAATGGTTATAAAAAGGTTTTCAAGTCTTCTACATTATTCAATTGTTTTAAATGTCCTCACTTAAACCTATTTAGATCTTCCTTTATCTGTTTTGAAAAATGTTTTCCATAAGATTTGCCACCTTTGGGCTGAAGTCCAGTTCCTCATCTTCATCCGTGGAGGGCCATGAGTCACCAGCTCCACCTTTATTTGATGCTCTGTAGAATAGAAAACAAAAAAAATAAGCACACTGCATCTGCAAAAAACTACTATAGTTTTTTTTTAAATAACAGAACTATCTTCTTACCTACTGATGGATGCAGTTTGTGAAGTATCTTCCTCAACTGCAATGAACAATGTAACAAATGTAAATCACACACAAAGTACTGTTATTTAGAGGTATTCTATTTAAATCCAATTAAACTATTATAGCAATAAAACATATTTATGATGGCAAAAATCTGAGCATGGCACTTTAGAAATCAGCTGCAAATGGGCACTAAACTGTATGAGTGACAAGTAAACAGGACTAGATCTATCAGCAACACCAAAGGCTAATACTACGAAAGCCATAAAAACAAATACTAACAGCATAAATGTGAATAATTATGCCTTTTTTTCTAGAAGGAGCCTTTGACTGCTTAAGATACCTTTCCCTTCACCTGCTCCTGACAGCTGCTCTGTAGACTGCTGCAGCTCTAGATCCATTCAGAAGGAAAGGCATGAAGGGCAGATGAAACAACGGGATCAAAAAGTACATTTAAACAAATACAAGGAAAACAAAGTAACAAATGAGCACGGCACCAATTTTTGATAAAAAAGCAAATAATGTCCGATTCAAATGGGATCATTATTAATGGTACTCATGGTGTAAAATGTTTAAGCTTAGGTCATTAAAATATGTAATTGGTATTAAAAGATATCCAAATTTATCAGCATACTTCATATTAAAAAAATTTAAACCAAGGAGCAACAAAGAGTACCCTGAAAAATGCCCCATTTAACCACCCAAGACAAAAATATTACAGGCCATATTCATTAAACGTTTATGGTCATGCTAAATTAACATGTTTTTTCCTATTGGAAAAATCATCTTTCCTGATATGTATTTAAGAGTTAGTAAAAGAGATTTGAATGTTAATTTATAATATTAGGAATTTCCTATTTCAGGAAACTGTGGTTAAATTAAAGCAACATTAGCAAAATTGTATGAATATAGCCCTCTAAAATGAATGAAAAATTAGGAAATATTACAGTAAACAAAACTTTTAATATAATACTGAATATGAAAGTAATTTCATTGTCATGCAAACCTGTCAGAAAACAACAGAAACAATTTTTATGCTCCTGCAAAAGCTGTGCACATGAAGCCCAATGTAATATCACACAGCAGTCCAATATTTCTATCGGAACAAATACACTATCTTGTGACATTCTTGCATCATTTTGAGTGAAGTATTTTTAAGACTTCAGAAAAAAAAATGTCTTCATCCTTCTACAGTATGTCTGATCTAGACTTTAATTATTTTAAGTTTAATAGCCATTCAACAAAGTAGTCACATACAGTGGTGAAAATGAAATAACAAGGAGAAATATTTCCATTGTTGGGTACACTTCTAAACTCTTCGTCAAATATTAATACAGAATTTAAATCTCTTTTAAACATTATGGGGACATCTTTTCCATATTGATTTTAACTCTAATTTCATGTGAAGAAACTCAGAGGAATTTACTATAAACTGGAACTCAGTTAAGTATGACATCTTTTTAAATGCTGTATTCTAGAATACTATTTTTAGAAAAAAAATATTCAAAGTATTTATAGAAAAAAGGTAGAGAATTAAATGTTCTAGTGCCATACATCTGGT